ACACTTGAATAATTTTCTTTCATTAAGTACTTGCTTGTGTTTGCTGCAAGGTGGTGCTGGCTTGGAGTGTGGCTCCACTGCAGTGGCTGTGTTTGGGTGTGTTCTTTCCTCTGTTCTTTCTTTCTTCCTTTTTGGAATTTACTTGGTTTCTTTTCTTTGACTAGCATAGCGTATCGTCGTGTCATTCGTGTCTATCAGTATGAAGTTGGGGATGATCTATCTGGAAGGTTTTTTCCTCTTATTTTCTTACCTCACTTTGGTTTTCAAATGCACTCTTTAATTCCAAGGCTCGCTTTCCTTCCAACTAACTTTCACGGCTTAGAGATGCTTGGAGGTTTGTTTCCCTGTTGACTCCACGGCTGGTTCCCAGCTTCCTGCTCAGGGTTTGGGGCGTGCGCTTCATCTCTTTAGACGTGCAGTGAATCTGAGCCTTAACCCTGTGGTGAGAAACACCCAGATGTTTGGTGCATTTTCATTGCTACAGAGTGATTCAGCACTTGAAATCCCCTTCTCAAGAAACTCAAGAGCATGTAGGAGGACAGATTTCAGTGGGGAGGAGAACCCAGTTTTAGTGACTTGAATACCAGTGAGTTAAGTCTTAGGAATTTCAAAGGAGAGGACAGCCCAGCTCCCCAGCGCCCAGACTGCTGGCCCTGCACAGGTGGTTGATCATGAACTCTCACCATACACGTTGGAAGGACAGAAGTTCTCAAACCTTGAGATGCTGCTTAGCATCCTGGGGAGAAAAGCAGCATCCAGAGACTTTCTGTAGCTAGTCCATATGAAGTAGATCTTGGAGACCATTGCCACAGTGGTGACCCTGACACGCTGGCATGGGCGCTCCAGAGTGCCTAGGAGCTCAGTGTGGCAATTGGACTGAGAGGAGTGGTTGTGCCTCAATTTCTCTGGGCACAGGATGGGAGAGGTGGGGTGGGAAAGGCAACTGTCCACCAGCCACTGCTGTGCAGGAGAGTTCTGCCGGTCTCTGCAGAGATTGTGCCATAGCAAGATCAGTTTTAAACCAAACCAGTAGTTTTCAAGGTCTTTTTCCCCCCCTTTATCCCCATGTAACACAGCTCTGTAGAGCTCCTGTACCTTACTGCAAACACAGCCCAGCTCCAGTGAATCACCTGTAGTTCGTGTGTGTGTGTGTGTGTGTGCCGGGCACGGTGGAGTGGGGTGGCACTGCACTGAGTTTCTAATTTCATCAGGTCCAGTAAAGCGGGCGCTTTGGATCTGGCATGAAGTGTGGCTGCTGATCATGTTGCCTTTCAAATGGGGCTAGAAATTAACTACAGAAAGAAATGAGACTCAAACAAGATGTACACCTGCCAGTCTGAAATAGGATGAGTCAGAACAAACAAAACACAAAACCAGTGTTTAAATATTTACAGGAGAGTAATGCTGCTGTAAGGATTTTTAATTTCGAGGAAGGATTGTTAATTTCAAGCCCCACCTGCAGTTTTTTATGGGGTAAGTGCTCCCTCTCACTGTGAATTCTGTGTTTAGGTCTTGTATGGTGGAGGAATCGGGAACGCTGGAATCGCAGTTGGAAGCTACTAAAGTAAGTGATGCTCAGTTATTGCTAAAGCACCTTTCCCAGGTGATCACTCGGGAACACAGGGTGGGAATGTAATTATATGGCAAAATCTTAATTGATTTTACACATTTTGAGTACTGAAGAGACCTTTGGGACTATCTAGATGTCTGCTTACATCACAAGCCATTAAACAACACTCTGATGTAGTTTTCCTTTTTCTTCTTTATTTCAAAATGAGCAGGGTAGGGCAGAGAGGACACAGGATTTTCAGTGCATTTCAGAGGGGGTTTGTCTCAAGAGCTGGTTTGTGAGCTCTCTTGGTTTCCAGTTGTGCACATGAAGAGGAACATTGTTTTGAATATTACTTTACAAATTCCAGCACACATATCTATAATCCCAGCAGAGAGAGGGGAGTATAACACTTCCTCCCTTGCCAGCCTGTGTTCTCATTTTTTAAGGGTTGGGGTTCTTTTTGGTTGGTTGTTTTTTCACTCATTATTTTCTCCTCTTCGCTCCCTCCTCACAGCGCAAGCACCAGGAGATCCGAGCTATGAGGAGCCAGCTGAAGAAGATTGAGGACCTTGGAGCAGCCATGGAAGAAGCACTTATCTTGGACAACAAATACACAGAGCACAGCACCGTGGGACTGGCACAGCAGTGGGACCAGCTGGACCAGCTGGGGATGAGAATGCAGCACAACCTGGAGCAGCAGATCCAAGCTCGGTATTGCCTCATTGCCCAGCCGCGCTGTAAAGTGTGTCCAGCTCGGGGGGGATAGAAGACAGGAGACGTGGCTGCCTGTGTCCAAAACAAACCTCACACGGGTCGTGCTAACGAGCCTCGCCTGTGCTCTGACTAACGGGTGTCGTGAGCCTGTAAATCCCCACCACCTCCTGGCTCTCTTCAGAGGGACGAAGCCAGTGGTTTGGAAATAGCTCCCGTTGGCCATTAACGGTCGTGGAGGAATTGAGTTATCCTGTGGAGCTGGTGTCAGGTCTTGGTTGCTCGTTTGTCCTTGTGATGCAGACGCGGGCTTGGGGCAGATGGACTCCAGCAGAGTTGTGCAGTTCAGGAACTGCTGACGAGCTTTGCTTCTTCCATTTCAGAAACACGACTGGAGTCACCGAGGAGGCCCTGAAGGAGTTCAGCATGATGTTCAAGTGAGTGGCAGGGGAGGATGCCAGGGGAGTGCTCCTGAGGTATTTCTGGCCCGTGGCTGGCTCCTGTTCACAGGATTCTCTCACCGATCTGTTCGCGGCTCCTTTGTTGCCTGCCCAGTTCTGTGCCGAGCTGCTCTGATCTCTGCCAGGTGGCAGGAGCTCCAGGGACACCCGCTGCTGGCTGGGCACAGCCACAGCCACCTGAGCCTCTCCTGGGCACACTCGCTTGTGGGCACGGTGGTGTAGGAACTGGGAGTGCCAAGGAATTCCAGCTGGGAATACAGCCATTTTTTGGATGCTTTTTAAGCAAAGTAAAGAATCTGTGCTCACTTTCGCTGAATGTCAGATAGAACTGTGGATTGATTCAGGCTGATTTGTCCAGAACAGCGAGCTGGTTATAACCTCTCCTAGTTCTGAGCCCATTTTGTAGCTTTCAGTATCAACAACTGACAGTTAAAAACGTGGGGTTTGTTTTTCTGTTTTTAGGCACTTTGACAAGGACAAATCTGGACGACTTAACCACCAGGAGTTTAAGTCTTGCTTGCGCTCTCTTGGCTACGACCTGCCTATGGTGGAGGAAGGAGAGCCAGACCCAGAGTTCGAGTCTATTCTCGACACTGTAGATCCCAACAGGTACGTGGGTTGGACCTTTAATGTTTTTATGGCAAAACACTGTATCGGTGTCCTGTGGGAGGGTGGCTGGCAGGTCTCACAGGCTCAGCACTGTGTTTATTTCCATGGTGGAGAGGCTATGGTTGTTTTTACAGCAATTCACATAAAAGTGTCTTTATGAAGGTAAGACTGACACTTGTGAAGAAGAAATTCCCTTTAAAAAGTGAATGTAGGGTCTCCTGTGTCAAGACTTTCACACGGGGGCTGTGAAAGCCCCTGTCAGGCGGGCGCGCAGGCGCTGTGCTCACTCGTGTTTCCCCGGCAGGGATGGACACGTCTCGCTGCAGGAGTACATGGCGTTCATGATCAGCAGGGAAACGGAGAACGTGAAGTCCAGCGAGGAGATCGAGAGCGCTTTCCGCGCCCTCAGCTCCGAGGGGAAGCCCTACGTGACCAAGGAGGAGCTCTACCAAGTGAGTACAGGTTGTGGCTCACCAGGGAGGAACAGACAGAGGGGTTTTGTTCCGAGGCTGTTAAAGCCCCAGCACTATTTGCTTGGAGTTTCATGTCACTGTGGTTGAGTCAGTTTTGAATCTGCCAGGGTATCCCAAACACAGAAGTGATGGTAACAGCCCTACCCCGTTGCCACCTCGGCTCTGTAGAGGAAGAGGAAAAGCTTTAACTGCCAAAGAACTACTCGGGCTGAGTAAAACAGGAGCTCCTCCAAGGCCTGGGAAGGGGGGTGTTCACTGTGTCTGTCCTCAGAAATCCATGCTTTCCTGTAATCATCCGGGAGACTAGAGGGAGATGTTTCTCCAGGCAGTAATTCAAAGGAGAAACTCAAGTATCTCAGCTTAGACATGAACACCTCCTCCCTTGCACGGCCCTGCCAAGACAGCAAGTTTTTCCTGTCTGAATCCCACCAGCTGGCACAGAAATAAAGAGGCTGCACTTCTTCCTCCTATCAGTCACCTGTTCTGTCTTCTCTTTGGTGGGAAGACTCAGGTCAGACCTTCCAGCTCTTAACCAAATAGCGTGAACAGCAGCCAGAGCATTTCCATGCCGGGTGCAGTTGTGCTGCTCTGGCTTCTGCCCCGAGCTGTGTGCCCCTGGGAGCGGGAGAGCTGCTGGTGAATGTCCCCTCCGCAGCCTGGCAGTGCCCGTCCCCACCTCCCCTGTCTTTGTCTTTCAGAACCTGACCCGGGAACAAGCCGATTACTGCATTTCTCATATGAAGCCCTACATGGACGGCAAGGGCAGAGAACTCCCTGCTGCCTACGACTACATAGAATTTACACGTTCACTCTTTGTGAATTGATCTGAAACACTAGTACCAAAAGATGCACAGAACACGCTCACGTTTGCTGACTGTAGCTCTGCATGTGTCTCTCTCTCTCTCTTTGTGCTTTACAATAATCGATGTTACTTTACGATGTAACCTTAAACTGCTTAGCTTAAAAACTCTTAGGGGAAACAAGCATATTGCAGTGTGCTTCAATAAAAGTTACTGGTCGAACCACATCAGCTTGTGTTTAATGGTTAAATGCAAATGTAACTGTTACATAGATGAAGTTCCAGCTGGTGTGGTTGTGTGTGTTTTACAGGCCAGCGCTGTGGAGAGGTGAGGGGGCAGCTTTTCCTGGAGTCAGAGGAGCAATGAGCTTCAGGCAGCTGGTTGTGTGGCTGCCTCAGTCCCTGATCTCACTCGCCAGCTGCTCCAGGTGATTCATTTCCCTGGGTCCCTGCTCAGTGAAGTCAGAACTCAGCTGCCAGACTCTGACTGTGCCAGTCGCATCCCCTGCTGCCAACAGCCGAGTTTGCTTGACATTAAATTCTAAGCAGTGCACGGGGCATTCACCCGCGGCCTGCTGGAGGGACAGGGCAGGCTTCTGCGAGCTCTTCTCCAGGTCAAACAGGTGCACTGCTCCTGCAACCAGAAACAGTTAGTGCAGCCTTGTGGTAACGGACTTGGTATGTAACAGCAGATGAGCACTGACTTAGTCTGGAACTTAGAGCTGTTCCTTTTAACCTATTTCCCCTTCCCATGATGGTTCTAGGCTGTGCCAGGTACCTGACTGGGTTTATTCTGCTGTCAGAAGCCCAGCTTGACAAACTCTAGGAAATCTCCATTCCTTAACTCAAAAATGTTTGGGCAATTTTCTAGGGAAAAACTTATTGTTTTAAACCGTTGGTTCTAGAAGTAAACGGCAAAACCAAGGAAGCTGGAACTAAGTTTCAGCCCTGGCAGCCTTGCCAGGTGTGTTCTCACCCTGGGAGGGGCTGTGGCTACAGAAGTAACTTTTCAAAAGTGCAAAATCACTGCGACTGCAGAGGTCTTGCTGGCCAGGAACGACCCCGTTACACTAACGGCACAGTACAAACAATGGCCACTGCTCTCTGCCTGGGGAAATGCTGATCAGTACAATTGACTTGTACTAATTAATACCCAGCACAGTGTTAATTTTAGGTGTAAGAACAGGAACCTGTGGTTACTTGCCTTCCCCAGATGCAGCCGCGAAGACCAATGGTCGAACTGGAGACCAGCGTACGCAGAAAAGGTATTTCTTGGATAACTGCAGACAAATGAGGGGCTGTGTCTGCAGCATGGAGTGCAAGTGAACTTGTCCGTCGGTCCCACAGCTCAGAAAGAGGTTCCTGGGGGAGGGAGGAAGAGGAAACCACTCCGTAGGCTTTATTGATAAAGATACAGAACAGAACTCGCCAAAGGAGCAGAATCTGGGGCGATGTTGCTGCTTGGCAAAGGTCTGAATGTGTGTCCTGAGGCAGCAACTCCCAAGCTGAACCCTGGGGCGTGGTCTGTAGAGACCCGGCTTTGTTCCTGCCCTCAATTAAGTTTAACGAGGGCTGGTGTTGTCCACGGAGTATTGCTGGTGGGTTGTGGGCCAGGGATGCCCGAGATCTGCTGAGCTCCAGCCGGGCATTGTCAGAGCTGCGTTTGTCTCATGCAAATTAAACCCAAACCCGGGGTTGTCGGCGTGTTTCATGGAAACGTGGCTTGGGGCCTCTTCCCCGGCCGGTGGGGAAGTGCAGGGAGAGATGTGAGCTGCTCATTTAAATCCAGGCAGCTACCAGTAAGATTCCTGATGGGCCGATCGCTTCAGCACTGATAAATAATGACTTTTTCAGCTCCTCCCCTTGACTTTAAATTGCTCTTTACCATTAATGTCTGGGATGACCTAAGGAAGGTGCTGATGTTCTGTGCTGGCCTGAGCACAAACTATTTCCTGTTACTCATGCTGTGCCCACAGGCAGCATACTTGAGTGGGCAGCTTCACCATGGCCAGTGGACATTGTTTCTCCTACAACAGGAAGTTACTTGATCAAGTTCCCAATGCCAGGTGACCTTTTTTTGGGACTTGTACACACACACACACCCCACCACCCCCCCCATGGTATTTAAAAATGCAGGTGCAGAGCCAGGTGGGAATTCGCTGCACTTGCCTGTGGAAGGGCGAGCAGCTGACGGAGTACACGGGCCCGCCGTGCGGGGAGAAGGCGAGCTCCGCTGGCGCCCTGAGGGGAACAGAACTGCCCGGAGGATGGAGAGCCCGTGTCTCTGCTGCCATGGAGCACTTGAGGGGATAGCCGCCTTCCACACCGACGATGAACACGTGGGGATTGAAGTGTGAGAAAGAGAGCGAGGTCACACCCACGGCTGCCTCTCCCCACGTGAACTGGGAGACAAAAGGAGACAAAGCTGCTGTGAGAGCTGGGGCAGTGGAATGCACACGGGGTTAGAGCAGCACCAGCCAGGGCCCCAAGGAGCTGTTCACTGCACAACTCACGCCAGCGCTGGTGGTTGTAGCGCTGCTCGGCCTTTAACCTCTGCCACATCCTCCTACCAGGGGATTTGTTGCGAGTTATTATAAGCAAGTTACCTTCTCCCTTCCAGCAGCTGCTCTTTAGAGCACGGCAAAACCTCGGCTGTTACCAGCCCTCCAAGGAGGGATTTCAGCATGGGCAAGGAGATGGGGATCCAGGTTGGTGCGTATGTTCAGAAGCGCTTTTCCTGCCCCTTTGCGTGTGGAAGGCGAGCTCTGCCACACAGCAAGAGTGTTTGTGTCAAATCAGCACTCTTTGAACTGCTGAACTCACCTTCTTCAGCTGAGAGCTGCGAGGGATCTGCTGAGCCACCAGGGCAAATCCCTCGGCCAAGGCCAGCCGCCCATCTCGCTCCTCCCTCCACACCAGGATCTTTCCGTCCGTCGACGCGCTCAGCAGCTGGGCGTGGTTCCTGTGCTTGGCGTCAGGTAACCACTTAACCTGTTCCAAACGCCACGAGCTCGTGAGGAGGGGGATTGTCACACCTGCAGAGCCCCCCCTCAGCAGCCTGCAGCCCCCTGAGCTGCCAAGGCAACGCGGGAGCAGAGCCAGGCGGCAGACGGGGATCTCGGTGCCAAAGGCAGCACAGATGTAGATGCTCCGAGAGAAACACGTTTTGTGTTCAGGGCTGAGTTCTGCACTGCAGTTCCTGTGGTTCACCTGCCAGCACTGCTGGGATGTGGTTATTTGTAGCACTTTCATCCAGCTACAAACCACAGCCTTTTCCCAACTTTCAGAAGAGAAAATACACGACTGCCCAGAGTCACAGGACCCCAGAAGGACAGGAGCCACGAGGAAGCCAGACTGCACGGCAAGTGGTGACCCTTCGTGTAGCTTTAAGCTCCCAACTAAGGATCAATGAGGCTTCGCTGCTTAGGCTTTGAAACTTGAAGTTATTTTTACTTGGAAGTGTCCAGTTCAGCAAACGCCTGTTTAGCAGCCAGATCTGGGGAAAAACAGCCACCTGACAGAGAGTGTAACTGCTGAAACGCAGCAGCCTGGGAGCTCCAGGTAAAGCACCAGGAAGGTGAGTAAGAACCCAAAGTGTGAAATGAAGCAACGGCACCTCTCGCCTCCCCCAGCCGTGTCTGCTGTAGATGTTCTGTTACCTGATAGACTGGATCACTGTGAGTGTCGTCCGTCATCCCCGTCCTCCAGATCATGGGGTCTTCTGTTCTGCTGGTGTCCCAAACCACCAGCTCTCCACTGAAGAGGCCACCTGAAAGGACAAAGAGAAAACAGCTGAGGTCTAATAGCTCATAACAAATGCACAAAGGAAGCACTGGTGGAAATGAGCCCACCAGCTTCAAAGGACTGGCAGCTACATCCAGGGCACAGTCCGCTCTGGTGTAAGAACATAGCTCAACCGAAACACACACGCTCT